TGAGATTTTCAGGCCACCATTTTGCATTTGGATTGAAAGGCCGTCAAGTGTACGAGCTGTCAAGGGGTTTTTGGTAAGTTTGAGCCTTTAAGACCACAACAGTGACCCGATTTCTGCTCGACTAGCTCCAAAACACAGTTTTCCACAAAAGCTGCGGCCATTAATGGGTTAATTAATCTGAAATTGCTAATGTGAGCAAGGTAAAGTACACTAATTAGGGTTTACATTATTGTTGGTTCTGAAGTGGTATAACACACCATGACTGCCACTTGGTTATCTGCACAATCTTTCCATCTGACTGCCAGTATAGCTTTGATGCATCGGCCTGGTACCAGGCCGTGCAGTGTCTCTTCTCTTGCTGACAAAGTATTTGTTTCAGCGTTCTTCACAAGCTCATTTGTCATAAATAGAATATAAGTTTGGAAGATGACCAATTGTGGAAAATGACATTTTTTCAGTCTAATAATGGGTCTGAATTGGGAGAATCGGGTTGCACACGCCCATAAGGAGTAACCTTCCCTCTTTCACGATCTCATATGATTACCTGTAGGTTGATTCCACCTAGCATAATAGAAGCTTTACACTCTTTGTGTCAGATTAGAAAGGAATTTGATGTAGATGTCAATGTACCAGTGTCTTATCAGAGTTGCCAGAATCAGAAGAAAACCCTCGTGCAAGTGCTACCCGGCTTCACGAAGGTCTGAAGGGGAAAGAGCGAAACTTGTCCACTAATTCCAACGCTTCTATATTGTTAATGAGAACATGACTGACTACTTCTCATCTTACCAAAAGCTTTTGGTTTGACATAGTATGTGCGCATCTCGTAAATCTTCGGTGATCCTGTAGCCTGACCAAAGATGGGTGAGGTGGACAGCATTTGACCGTGAAGCCATGTACCAAGGGCGACCTGACGACCTACAGTTTGGCGTAAGCCACGCAAACCACGCAAGCCTGATCCAATAATCGCAGCCATACAACTTCCACAGCTCTACTTGAGTTTAAAAAAGCACACAATATTAATAATCAGCCAACCAACAAGAAGTGAATTTTTCCGTGCCCACAGCCAATGTCAGCGGTGATATTTACGAGGACGCGGGCTCACGGGTTTCAATGAAAAGGATTGGGAACAAATTATAGAAAATAGGAAGTTTACCAACACTTTTATTGCCGGCGTTTCGAAGTATTTTGTTCAGAAAATGGCTTTGGTTTCCGATCCTGAAACGCAAAAAGCCATTGAAAATGAACTAGAGATTGTTAAGAAAACGCTGGCCGAAAAAGTGGTGGGATCTGAGATTATTTCATGTCATCTGGTGGCTGTCAATGTACGAATCACGTAAGTTGCTTCTTTACGGTCTCAATAAATTAATTGAGTATGAATGATGGCGGTTTCTAGGGTAGTCAGGGTTCAGTTCGGGGAAAGTACCTTATACCCAGTTGACGTGAGCTCTAACTTGTCTGTCCATTAGGAGAACGAAATTCAAGAATGTCATCGTCCTTCTGCAATTTCCTGAGAAATATCCCAACAGTGGCATTCTTGTGGAACTGAAAAGCAAAACTTTACCCCCAAGGCTGTTGTCCAAAATGATGGAGCTTTGTGATCAGGAGGCCAAGAAATTTCTGGGCAAGCCTCAGGTAAGTGATGTTCTGTCCAGCCTGTTTTAAGTTGTAAAGATTATCGCACAGGTATTTGGAATCTTGATTTCAGGGCTCCCTCTTGTATTACCTATATGTAGTACTTAAACCGTTGTTTTAAATTTTATTTCTATTTTTTGGGGATGAATATTCATTAAGATGTACTTAATATCAGAGAAAAAATAAAATTTGTTCTAATGATTCAGAACAAACCTCAAAATGTGCAAAGTGAAAAAATATGTTACTATTTCAAAAACAGATGTGTCAGAAATCCTGAAATTGGTAAATTTACAGCGTAAGAGAAACACAACAATTACAAAGAAGATAACAGCTTATAGGTTAGAACAATGTGTTTTAAATGGCTTTGAGTTGCACAGGGGAGGACACCTATTAGAAAAGGGAGCCTATCAGACAGGATAGGCTTAGTAAAAACTTATACATGTCTTAATTTGGCTGTAGATATTCTCGGGATAAGGACGAATAAACCATAGGTCCCGTCTCCAGCATCTAGTAATTAGTTAATTTGGTTAGGCAGGGGATGTTAAAGAACCCACTCACGAGATTACTGTGATGTGGTCTGTCCTGTTTACTGGGAATTGGGGGGGGAGGGGGCATCTTCAAATAAGTTTCCTTTGATTGTTTGTAAACTGCTGATGCAGTCCGGCCAAAGTCCCCTGAAAAGTGTTGTGATGCACATTTGATCATATCCACATGTTAATTTGTGCAATATAAATATTAAATTATTATTATTATTATTAGATATTATTGACATGAGAGCAAATTTCTTTTAGGTTATCCCTATGCTTATATTTGTGAGGAGATTTCTTGATGAGAATCCTTTGATTGCATGCTCTGATGAACTGCAGTATGTCAAGTCAAAGTTACTATCAGACACTGATGAACTGAAAATAAAACAGAAAGCTGGAGTACTTAATATACGTATAAATCAAGACAAGTAAGTAATGTTTCTCTTTCGATACAGTTTAAACCCAAGCATAGCCAACCAGTTAAGCAAGTTTTTTTTAAGTGCAAATGAACCAACTTTCCAAATGTTGTGGAAAATTTGTACTGTGTAGTTGGATTGTAACATCATCAATAATAAATGCCAATATTCAACAAAAGTGTTTTTCTGAAATTATTTTATTCTAGATATCACTTGGATGTGAAGATAACTGTTCCTGATGACTATCATTCTGCTGCTGTAAAGTATGTGGAATGTTTCAGTTTGAATAAGAGCCACTTGCTGAAGTATTGTTTTAGGCATGAGTCTTGTCTATCATTTGCCACTAGGAAGAGAGGTGAATTATTGTCAGAGTGGGCTCCAGAAAAGACAATAACTTTTGAGAGATTATAGGGTAAACATGCAGCCACTCTGCTCATTAAAACTACCGGTATTTCCTCATGTTTTTTTTTTTCAGGATAGAGCTCAAAGATTCAAACTTTCCTGAGAACTTAGTAAGAGTATTTATTGGTCAAGCTGTCGACATGGCAAGAACATGTGTTGAGGCACCTTTGCGACGTAGACCCAAGTATGTTCAGCCTGGTTTAACCCTCTTACTGCAAAGATCTGATTCTTAATTCTTCTCCATTGTTGGTTAACAAGAATTTGGTGTCAAATCAAGATGACAACTCTGCCTGAGAAGTTTAAGTATTCTTATTACCTGTTTGCTGGATAATGTATTGATTTTATAGAGGGAAGTTACCTGTTAATCTCTTTGGTTTGAGCTGAAAGATAAGTGATGAAGTTTTTAATCCTAAAGGGTGCCATTTCTTCACAGAACTTTCTGAACTTCACTTGGGTACAAACCTTCTCTTCCTAATGCTACTGATATTTTCAAGAAAGATATTAGCATTTTTGGAATATTTTTTTGTCAGTCAAACCTATTTATCAATAGGAATGGCTTCTGTAATCTAAGAAATGTTTGAGAATGAAAAGTGAAATATTATTATATTATATATTATTTTATTTCCAGAGATCCACCATTTGAACCAAAGCCATCCTTAAGGCTAGTGTGTGATTTCCTAGTTGATCAGTGTGCAAGACCATGTCCACAGCAAAGATGTCCAATTTGTCAAAAAAGAGCTCTGCCTGAAGAACCAAAGGTAATCTCAACATAGGAAAATGACTGCACCCCACAAACTCATAACTTTACCACTCACATGCATATTCGCGTGCCCTGTGTACCTGGAGAAGCACCCTGAAGATGAATAATTTTTTTTGGTAGCCAGTCTACAGTATGAATCACTTATTTAGGGCTGACAATACTAGATTACTTGAAGAGTATTACATATTCAAACTTTATTCGCAAAGAATGCAAATGACTCTTTACTGGCACAATTTTCCATAACAGTTCTCCTTCCAAGAGTTGAGGTCATTAAAAAAAAATCAGTTTAAAACTTACAGACATCAATCCTATTAGTAAGAACTGTATTGTTTTCCAGGAGAAATGCCACGTACATGTATTTCAAAAGTCAGAGTTATTTTTAAATAATCATTTTCACCCAAAAGTCTACATTCTTGTGCAAAGCATTCTTACTCTCCACAGGAAGCTGTTACAGAACCCACAGATCATCAATATGTTGAGCGTGTTTACTGCAGTCATCTATTTCATTATGGATGTCTGGACAAATACATGAAAACACCTCCTTTTCAAGGTAGGATGCCATTGGCCTGATATTAAAAAACTCTTAAGAGACCTTAAGTCTTTATTTGACAGCCAACAAACTCAATATCTTTTCAAGTTCACTTTATTGTCTTTATATATTCGTTTGTTTTTCATGATTGTTTTTTTTTTTTTTTTTTTCAGGTGGAAAGAAATGTCCAGCATGTAAACAAGTTATTTATCACGATCGTTGGAAAGTAACACCAAAACTTGCAGAGGAAAGATGGGCACATCACGAAGCTAAAAAAAGAGAACTCTCTGAAGTTGTGGACTTCTTGGGAGACTGCCTTTGACAAAATTTTATGCAATTCTAAATGACAAACCAAATTGTCCCAAAATAACTAAATTCAATTCCTCGAGAATGGTCACGAATGGAGACATTTAGTAACTACACGATCAACTTACTGATAGAATACCTTAGACTGGTTTGTTCGAAACCCAATTGACACTATTGGTGGACTAAGCGAATTCAAAATGTTTAGGCAGGTATGTTGTTGATAAGCGCTAATCCTACTTCGACTAACAATTCGACTCGGAAGTACTATTCTAATGAGACAACAGAAGCTCAGCTAAGTCAGGTGTAAAGATAGGTTGATGGGCCAGAGAAAGGAATATCAGCGGATCTCAGTCATTGAGTGGTTTATCTTATAACGAAGTAAGACTACAGTCCTACATTTCCAATAGAAAACATATAACCTAGGCTCCGACAACACTTATTCGTTTTAAAAGAATCCCTCTCAATCCCAGACCAAAACGACGTAAGATATTTACGCGCAGACTGGTGCTTTCGTTTTTCTCTCACCTGTCCACGCTACTGGGTTTCCGTTCGATAACGACTTTATGCTTTTTCACCCATCTTCCTTCCTAAAACGCCCGGAATGCAGATAAAAGCGGCTGTATTCACTTGTCCGCACAAGTAATGGAACGTTTAAAAAAAAAAACGCGCTCTTTAAAACATTCTACTATTTCATTAGTGTGTCCGGGCGTTTAAGTATGGGCGAGAGGAAAGACGCATGAAGATATCTGCAATCAGTTCAATAAACTGGCTATCTTCTGTCGTTCTGTTGCTGACCAATACACAAGTAGACCAAATGGCTTGATTTGACTTATGCATCCTACACGGAGATGAAACTGTTAACGGTGTGCGAAGGAAATCTTTCCTTCTTTACCTTGGGCCCGTTTCTCGAAAGTCACAGAGCCTGAGCCGTATTTTGAAATCTAAACGTGATGTTAAAGTCGTGCATATCCTAGCTTATGGTATTATATCTTAAGTTTCAAGACTATCTATATCCCATTCTTGAATGTAAATGCGGCAAACAGGAGACAACTATCGGGACCAGTAACTATTGGGACTTTCAAGTAACGGGCTCCAGATCTGTTTACATCATTGCGTTAGCTTTTAAGTTCCGATAAATGTGCTTTTAAATGTTACGGGATACGAACCTGGTACATCATTACTGAAGTGAAATAGATCACAGCGTATCAGTATGAACCAGCCATAGAGTAAAAACTGAAAAGTAACGTGAAGTGCTCTCAATTCTCGAAGGTAGCATAGTAATGATTTTAATTATCTTGGACTTGATAAAGTGTAATGAAAGAATTTTACAACAAAAATGAATTTTACAACAAAAATGAATTACTACACAACTTGAAAACACATTTCTCATCGACATATTGAGTGAGATGGTGCATTGTTGAACTTCATATATCTAACCTTTAGTTAAGATTTGAATTCAAAGTCTGAAGTTACTTGGGTCCAGCTATCGCGATGAGTTACCTGATTGTGACTGTTTCGCCTGAGTTCCTTCGGTGTACGTGCCTAGTTTGTCTACTAAACTTTCCTTGGACTCACACTAATTTCTTGTTTTGACTTTGGTGGTAATAACTTCATTGTTTGATCGGAAGCATTAAGTGGGTTGATGTGTAGTATTCGTGAGATTCTGGTGAAAGTGTTTGGATATTGCTCTGACAACAAACGTTTGAACTTCCGAGGTCACTTGGCCAGCATACCCATTCAAGACAATCGATAGTGAATATAAAAGCGTGTACTATTGAGTTCGAAGTCGGTTGATCTGATTTAAAGAGAGGGAGTCGACCAGAATAAAGTGGATCAGTCAATCAGAGTTAGAGTAGTCGAAGAGAAATTAATGTAAAGAGAATTCCGTCAGAGAGAATAGATGAAAGAAGACTGAGAAAGGACATGTCGAGAGTCCTTGGTGCCTTTCGCTGAGCATAACACGTTCTGCAGCTACTTTCCCCATTATTGCCAGGCAACACTTTTCCCCCTACCCCCCCTCCCTTGGTATGTTGCGTCGCACTGACGGGGGAAACTCTACTTACAGCAAATTCTCTTTTTTCACCTCTTGAACTGAGAACCGTTTGACAGCAGTAATCTCGCTGAAACAATGATGCCAGGCAAATCGGTATCCGAACAAAACGATCGCCTACCGAGAGTAAACAAGCGATCTTGAGTGTTCCAACGATTTGTGTAAATAAATCTTTGAGGAGACAGAGAAGGACGGTCTGTTTCCAGGCTATGGATACATTCTCCAAAAACTCGATGGACACTGTGCTGGTGCAACATAGTAGTTAATCTAAGACTCAATACCCGCCACCCTTGAAATATATACTACACATAGTTAAGTTTATTACTTTTTTTCAATAACCGCTGTTACATTAAATGATTACACCAGATTCAAAAATTTTAAGATTACTACTCAGTGGAACATCAAAGGGATACAAGTGAACGTTCTCAGCGTAAACTTAAACCTTGTTTTTACCATGTAATACCTCGGTGTATTGTTTTTTTCCTATTGCAAGGAATGTCTCTTAGTCTGAGTATTGGTGCTGAATTTACTTTTCGTTTTCTTGTTTTTATCTCCATATTTACACTTTTCTACGCAATTGATAAATAACTGAATCTCTAATTGTCCTAAAATAAATCTGTGAATCCGGCGATCTCTCAGATTTAACGGAAGCATCGCATACAATTTCATTACTGACCTTAAATTTCTTGTTGCAGTATTGAGGTTTATTCCACCATATTACAACGAGTGCATGCACAATAAGGAATTTTACATGAAGTCATAACCAACTTTTGAGACAAGCACAAGTAACTGGCCTTTTCTTGAAAAGGTAGCATACCGCTGGGCATGTGCAACGTTGTCGATGTGGCCATGTGCTACATCTTTACAAGTTATGTATTTAGGTGCACGGATTCTAGTTCTAATATATACATAGAAAACTGAATTACGTGTAAAAAATATCGCGGTTTTAAATGTTTCTATACAAAGGCGAGACAACGTGCTTCTAAGATCATAAATAGACGCCAGCAGTTGTTATTGAGAACACCGGGCTCGTATCTTTTTGCACTTTGGTGAAAAATTGATCAGGAAAAGTGATGCAAGAACAAAGAGATTTTCGTGTGGCGAATTTGAATGATTACACTTTGCCTCACCAAATTTTATTGTAAAATAATGTCTCTAGCCTGTTTCAGACGGCTCCAAGCCAGTGGGGATGACTGAAAACGGAATGCAGTTGTCATGGAAACATTCAACATTTTTTTCAATCATCTCCCCTGCTCATCAGCCCACCAAAGGCAATTTTTTTTCTTCAATAAAAATGCTTTCTTGTTTTACGTCGAAGTTGCTATTTTTACGTCGCCTAGCTATTTTCGCCTAGCTATTTTCGCCTAGCTATTTTTACCCGTTTTATGTTTCTGTTTGATTTCACCAAGTTTGTCATCATTTCATTGCCGTTGTTGCTTGAGTTTGATTTGTCCCCATCTCGGTCTCTGGAGATACCTCATGACCTTTGTTACACCCCAAGAGCTTTTTAAACTCCTTCCTGTATTCTTTGTTGGTAAAACAATAGATGAACGGATTCACGCAAGAATTGATAAACACAAGAACATTAAACCCTTTATGAACGGGACTACCAATTTTAGTGATCCCGAAAGGACTGAGAACGTAAATGGTTTGTGAGGGGAAAACACAGATTGTCAAAGCAGCCGCTGTAAAGGCGCACATGCGCAGAAGCAATTTCTGTCGCCTTCGTTTGTTAACATTCTCAACGCTTTCCCCAGGGGATGATGGGAGATTTACCATAATATGGGCAAATGTGAACCATGTCAACAAACAGGGAATGTAAAATGCCACCAAACTGTAAGTAATGATGAAGGCTCGAGTGCCGTTCTTGCCGTACGGGGCTTTCTTCGAAACACACTTATTACCTACGAGACATGTTTCGAAAAACTTATTCATGGAAAGAAGACACGTGACAATAAACATAATGAAAACAGAAATGATGATACGTTTTCTGTTAAACTGATTCTTGTATCTGATTGGCCTGAGCACGCAGTACCATCGTTCAACCGCCAGGTAGGCCACAAGAAGGATGGAAACTTTTCCCATAGCGAACAGCAGATATCTGTTGGCGAGCAGGCGACAAAAAATCTCACCACGTAATCCGAGAGGGACTGGATAGTCAGACTTGGAGATGGCATATCCGGGAGTAGCCACGAGGAACACTCCTGAACGGTTTAAGAATTGAAATTAGAGTGAAATAGAAAATCAGAAGAGCAGGTTAGGGATTAGTTGCAAAAGAGGAGTTCGATTAAATCATGTAAATGGTCATTCAGATGAGAGAAGCCCTGAAAAGTACTCTTGTTGACTTAAAAATATATTTCTTGATGATCTCCGCTCGAATCACACAAACTTAAGCAGGAACCGGAAATACCACTTTCCTGATGACTACCTTTACCCGAATGATTACACAACTAGATTTAAGGAAGCATTGTTGCAAATATCGATTTGAACCTTTTTTTCTGATCATGACTTTCTCTGTAATTTCCCAGGAAGCAGGGAATTCTGAAAACTGAGTGCAGTTTTCATTTAAGCGGAAACCTTCAATTAGCAGACAGAAAATCACATTCCCAGCCACTTAACCAGCTTTGTACAACTTGCAATTATTAGGTTTGCTTGAATTTCTTGTTTTCCATCAAAAAAAAGTTAAGTGTCTGGTTAACCTACAAACCCTTATGCCTAGGAACCGATGTGATTCTCAACTCTGCTAATTGAACAATCTGATCTCACGCCAACTGATACCAAGCTACCAGTTCCTCAAGCCCAGCAGAAAAATTCGTGCTATCCCAGCCTGAACTAACAGGATTTTGAAACGTATGGCGTGCAATAAAACTCAAATTATTATGGGAGAAGAAAAGGTCCATTCCATTGATCGGAAATTCGCCGAAACCTTCAGCTGTGAATTGAATACATGCCTGTGCCAACCCTAAAGGACACCATCCAAAATAATCGGGGTGCTCTCCTAGATATTCAGAGCATCGTCGAGAATATTCAGAGCGTCTTCCAGAATATTCGGACGTCTTCGGAAGTGATCGGGTTCTTACGAAAATTCTAGCACTCTGAGGAAGAGAATCTACTCCTTCATTGAAATCCTTTGACTACCAATTCCCTTGGACAAGGATCGGTAGCCGATGTAGTTTCAATGTGAATAAGCTGGATTAAGATAGTGCAACTTTATTAACATACAGAACCGGCTTGTGAAACTCACCAGTTAGCAAGTCCACCACAGCTAAACTGAATAGTAGAATGTTATGGGCCTTCCGTAGCATCGACCGTTTTCTTAGGAGTACAATGCAAAATAACAAATTGGAGGTGAAGGAAAGAGCAGCGATCACCCAGAACGTCACGTTCAGAGTAGTGTCTTGACTCTTTGGAGGCGACACTGTTGAAGTGAGTGATGCTGTTGGAAGATAGGTAGTGTTACCGTCCATAATGTTTCTCTCAGCTGCACTTGTGATGAACCTTAAGGAAATGTTCGTTAAGTTCTGTTTAGATTGTTTAGATCTTTGATGAGAATCATGACAATTATTCAGTCCTCTTGAAGAATGCATTCACTGTTTAACGAAAAGCAGTAATGTGCTGTGGTCAATTTTCATTGCTATTCCTTACACGAAAATACGAGTCAGTTACTGGAAGAAATTTATTTGCGTTCAATGTTTAAGTTCCGTATTTTTGGATTATGTTTTTCTCAGCTGCTTGAAATTTTGATATGGAATATGGAATAAATTGTAAAATCAGTCTCAATCCCCTCAAAAAGAATAATAAAAAGATTTTTTCTTTACTAAGAATGATTAAAACCGACAAACGACATCTTTTTTTGAAGGGGTCTTTAATATGCAATATGCCATTTAAACGTTTCGCTACTCTGAAACTGTCAAAAAATCGCAATGTATATAGCTATTGTTCTTCTGTTAATTGTTTATTACAGCTATTTCAGATTACACTGAGAGGAAAAACTGTCTTTTCGAATCGCTGTATGTTAGTCGTAAGCTGTACTTTTGACATTGAAATGGCGTCTGCTTGTGGTTTTTTTTTGACGATAGCACGCGCATAACTAAAGTGCAAACAGGTTGGATAAGTTTCTCAGACCAGCGATGGCTGATTTTTCTTAATTTTCTCTTATGGTTGATACCGATAAAGAATAGCACGATGGTCACAGTGAACGTTGATTACCACGCGATCTACGCTTTGTCTTTTTGGAAATTAAAATGACAAACATCCTTCCACTTGAGATCATCAAATGTGTTCAAAGAAAAATTATATGTCATCAATCCAAAATTCAATATGAGGAAATGAAAAACAAATATCGGCCCGAGACGAAGGTTTATCGGTTAATTAGTAAAATGGACAAAAAATAATTTAGCGGGACTGACAACTAAACACAAGCTAATAAACTTCTAGAAGGTTCGATGTTTGTCCATGTTTTATCCCTTGCGAAATTAAAGAAACTGGGTGATCAAGATAAGTGAAATAAAGACAGTCCAGACTTGACAAAGGCGCCAACTGGACTGTCTTGCGATGTCAGTAAATACCCTTAGTGCCGAAGATGAAAACTGAACTGCTTACCCGAAAAAGCACAGATAAGGATGATGATTATTCCGAAGGGTCAGCTTAACTCCTCTTCAGCCCACTTCTTATTCTCGCTAAGTCAGTTATTGCGCAGTAAATCTCACCGATAGATATAATTATGCAAATTACCAACTTTGGTGATGTGAAACTGAAACTACAACAAATGCACGCTCTATTGAATTAAACAAGATATGTGTCAGGGAAATTTCATCCTGTAGCTCCCAGAAGTGATTAACATGAAACTTCTCCCTATAATATCCATACATTATCTAACAAACAGGTTAATTAGAAGAGATCTTAGGCTTATCAGGTAGAACTTCAGTGTTATCCATGCTAAATACCAAATCCTCGTAACTAATTTAAAAGGAAATATGTAGCAGCTAGAGTGGAGAATTAACAATCAGATCTTGCATGTGTGTTAAAGGGTTATTAAGATGTCTTTCCTGTAGAATGGTAATGAATTAATTGACGTCACTTCATGAAGACTGAGTAATCTTCATGCCTTAAAGATTTGCCTTTTTCGATCTTTTTTAATCTTGTGGTAACCAAATGGTTTCCTATCAGAATTCATACTGACACTGTAATCGTGATAGCGGTCGCCGATAGCAATTATTGCATGGAGGAAACCCTAGAGAGACTACAGGCCCAGAGGGTTCGACGTCTATTTCTTTGTACTTAAAAAAAACAGGAACTTGGACAATAAATTTTAAATGAAGTGTTGTTATACTTCGTGTGAAATATTTTGAATTCGCCATACGATCTGCTTAGAAATACAAGCGGCAGGTTGTCAGCTTATAAGGTTCTCAGAAAGTGTTTAGCATTTAGTTTAAAACATGTTAAAAATGTACTGATCCACCTTAGAGGCCGAGAGCCAATTTGCAATAAAAGTTCAGACTTTTTTTTTCTTATCAGTAAACCGTTTAAGTCAACACATCGATTGTGTAACAAAGGGGAGATGATAGTAAATTTGAAATGAAAAGGATCCACTAGAAGAAAGGTTTTCTCTTTACACTCAAACATACACTATCTATTTTTGGGGATTGTTTCGCAGTGTGATGCATTTCGGATTACATACGAGTGGGAATAGACTATTGACAAGTGGCAGTTGGCACGTATGGCGCTTAGAAAGCATTTAGCTTTTAAAGCCTCTTCTTTTTCTTATGAAAGAGCTTTTTCAATACCGCTGAGCCCGGTTTGATGGTCACGCTGATCAAATCAGACTCACGGACGTGAAAATGAGAGATCGAAATGAGCACCTGTCTCCTTTATCGAAAAATAAAACCGTCATTCTTCGAGATTGCAACACTCATGTTGCCTGAAATCCATTGATCCGGCTTGGAAGTCTCAAACTCTTTGCTTAAACTTTCATCCGCTGAACCTTTGGCATCAACGCAAGGCTATCTTCTCGTGATAACATCGCAGGCCTCATCAAACTTGGCTTAAATAATAAATAGCACACACTACGACTATTTGAATTTGTTTTCTGAAATTGGATTATTTGCTCAGGTTCTTTCTCTTTTTTCATTTACATTACTTACAAAAATGTATTTCTTCAAATAGTACAGTCGCAGAAAAATCCCGTGGTATTTTGAATCTATCTCGCATGGAAACATACTGATAGCCGAATTGATACAGTTGAAGCCAGGGATGTGTATGGAAGATCTTAAATGTTTTCAGACTAGTTCAAGAGAATGAAATGGCAGTGAGCTGTGTCAAACTATAATTTCTCTTTACAATTTCAAGACTTAAGCGTTTTGAAGTTAATCGTTTGCTTGACTGTCGTTTCAGCGTGGGCAATACTGCTCGCACTTGATACGGTTTGGCTATCGCTGCATGCATGCCCAACCATGTTCCTGGTTTTGCACTTGTTCTTAAAGAAATCGAATTCGGCTATGCTTAATCAGAACTCTTAATAACTAAACGACGTGAAAAGACGAAAAAATCAAAGCTCACCTCTCTTTCCTAAAAATAAAACCTTTTGCTTTGAACCGAAAGGCGGTTATGCCGGAGAAACTCCCACGGCCAACACTTGATCGTTATGCGGCAAGAGTTCACTTGGATTATTTCTAACAACATTTCAAACACCTGCCCGAGGTGTGAACAAATAAGTTTTCTTTTCAATTGACTTAATGAAAATTTTGGGCTGGCAAAACTATAGATAGCTTCTGAAAATTCTATAAACACGTGTCAAACTCAAGTAAAGATAAATATAACAATGTAATGCTGTTCGTCACTAATTAAACCGGATTTGCAAGGAAATTTGTCGCAGTTATGAAGAAAACTTTCCTAAATATTTTTATTCGGGGAGAGTTTTGTAGTCGAGGTATCAAAACCTTGAAGCAAAAAGCTGAATGGCTGAGAGACACCCCGTAATGACAATGTGGGTTGCACTAAAGCAGTGTCCTAAAAACTATAAATAGATCTACCTTCTTCAACAACACTCTCGCAACGCGATTTTGGCTAAGTGTAGAAAAAAAGTGGATTGGAAATACAAGGAGGCGAAAAAGGCACTATGATTTTTCCGCTACCAAATATCTAAATCATTAACTATTATTGGACTTGTGCTAACACGAAGTGTCGCATTTATATCCTGTAATTCGACAACATATTACAATTATTAAAACAATGCCGGAGTAATTGGCGCCTCGAGCGAAGATCTCCCAACGAGAAACATTACAAACAACAACAATAACAATAATGTAAAAAACACTTAGGACGTAATTGTCGCCTCGTATAATACACCTTTAGGCATTCGTGAGTACAAAGCTAGGAAAGTGTTAGTGATGATACGAAAAAAAAAAAAAAAGAAAGAAAGAAAAAAAAGAAAGAACAGAACATTGTTGGTAGAAATAAAATTCTCTAATAAATCGTATTGTAATCAATATGACAAATATCTCTGTGGATAAGGTTCGCAAGTTCATTTCACGTAAATTCGTAAAATCGATGACTCATTTCCTTTCATTATTAAGAAACCGTGGAACACGAAAACTTGTTATATCAACGGAGAAGATGAAAAAGATGTTTCTACTGGAAAAATTTGAATAACACATCCCCCTGAAAATCGGCAGGACGCAATAATTTGCACAAACACAATGAATAACGGTAAAACGTAAAAGTAAGTGGAAATACTTCTAACCCCAGGAGATAACGGATTTAAAATTCATGCAAACACTCGATTAAATTTAGAACCGGCTGGATCAAAGTAACACAAAAAATAACAAAGTAAATTTTGAAAAATTACACTGCTAAGATGTGCTTTAACGCAGCTCAGTCGTACCCAATTATGAAATCAAAATTCTCCTTAAAAGGTTCATTCTGCCAGCTACATGGGTACTTTCTCTTGACGTCATTTGCAACCGTACTGACATCAAGAAGTGGAGGTGAATAATTGTTAAAAATCAGCAATGCACTGTTTTTTTTCTCTTTTACGCGTAAAAAATGTAATATTTCACGATCTTGCCACCATGTTTGTTTAGAGCGCATTGACAAACACGTCATTTTACTAAGAAACTAAAGGTCAACTGAGGCAAAATTCGTAGAGTTCTCATTTTAACAACTTAATAACGAAGTTCTCAGCTGGAAACGAAATCAAGACACTGAGGTTAATGATTGTTTTACACCTTTGGCCCTTCATGAACGCAACATAAATTTTCATGACCGCCACTTTAAAGTTATATAACACAAAAGTTCATGCTATCAAGTTAGCGAGAAGACAATCATAATGACGATTTGAACTTTCATTTGGGCTCTTCGCATGAATACGAAAATTAATTTATACACATATACTTTCATTTTAAAGTAAAGTAAATTCTTTAATGCTATTGAGTCAATCGACGCTCGCGAAAAGCTCTATTAATATTCACTTATGTGGAATGTTGTGAAATATACTTATGAACATTTTTGCAAAAACTGAAATATCAGTTGATTAATGTTCCTGAGAATGGCCACTCTGTAGTGATCATGACGGGAGAAATAAAAACTAAAAAGAAAATAAAACTCTGCCCGGTTAAGGATTAGTATTCAACTTTACGAGAATTTCAGACATTGAAGACAAGTTTGTGATAAAGCAGGCCGTTGAGTACGTCACCAAATCCTACCTAAAGAATTTTAAATTTATCCCGTAGAAACGAGATTGACACAAGATATGGGACGCATGTATAAGGCCAGTTTTAAATTAACGCGGTCCATAACACAAACTGAGTTGAGTTAACTCAGTTTAGAGACGTACACCAAAGTCCCGTTCTATTCGCTAGCCTGGTTTAAACGTCACAGATTAAGTTGGTGCAGAATGAAGCATACAGCTTGTATTCCAGGTTTTGAATCAACACAAGGCATAACTCGAAACAATTATTCAAAATTCCGAGTCAACCTAATCTATGGTATCAATGTCCTGGACTGCTGAACACTAGTGTTTGGATTCCACAGACCGATTTGACAAAGATTGTGGCATGTATCTGATGAGCCACGTTTAGGGTTAGTGCAGACCCAAGAACTGTTAAGGGCAGTGTGGGTATCCATCTTCATTCTACGGCAATCAATTAAAACTTTGGAAGAATCTCAGAGAAGTAATTCTTGATTTTGAAAGTTGAGATTTCGAATGTTGGATTAATAAAAATCGCTGAGGATGGTGGGTGGCGAGTGCGTGCGCACCTTTTAATGCAGTCTGGCAGTTCCATTTCTTAATACCCTTATTCTGCTTTCGTGTCAACAATATATATTGTAGAGGGGTCAGTTGTTCAAAGGCCGATTAGCGCAAACCCAGGGTTAAATTTTAATCCAGGTTTCTATATTTCTCTGTTCAAAAGCAGTTTTGGGATAATTTTCCCAATTCTTTTTAGAGCATTCAATCATCAAATTTTAGACAAATGAAATTAAACTGAATTGACTTTTAAAACTTTTAGATGTAACCCTTAGATCTAACTCTAACCCTGGGTTATCTTAACCCACCTTTGAACAACCCGGGCCAGGTCATCAATATTACCTTGAGTTCAACTGAAATAATCTCTTTCAGAGGTGAATAATTGTTAAAAGTCGACAACGTGCTGTTTTTGTTCTCTCTTTTACGCACAAAAAAATGTTATTCTTTCACGATCCTACCGCCATGTTGCTGCCTCTCTAGTACTCTCTAAAGCAGGGCATGGGACCGAGTTTGGCGACCACCTCGCGCGGCTGCCGCGCGGTCTTCGTCATAAACGGTCATTGTGATGTCAATCTTAACTTCACTCGTTCTTGCAGCAAACCAAACGCAAGTTTGCGCCTTTCGTGAAAGAGTTAAAAAAAGTTTGAGAACAATCAGAGATGAAGTGGGTGACTGCGCAAATATAGCGCTTTCGCTTTTTTTTTGTTTCCTAATGCAACATACAGTGCTAAACTGGAAGGTAAGGTTTTTCCTCCTTCTGAAAAAACATTTTTCTCCATAAAAAGCCTTGCAAGTGATGACTTTTCGGACCTAGCAATAGGAACTAGAACTTAACCTGACTCTTCATGTCAAAGCCGCCTACACCTTTTAAAAGAAATTGCTCAGTTTTCGTTGCTAAATCTGTCGAGTAAAGAGGTTTGGCCTTTTCGCAAGCACATTGTTAAAAGTAATTTAAATCGATTTCCGCAAAACAAATGTTTCTGGTTGCTATGGTAGCTGTGCGCGTGGTTTTAAGTTCATTTCTTTGTAGCGCGCGCTACACAAACGGTTACGTCGCGCCAAATCAGTTATTTTCACTGACATTCCAAACTAACGGGCTTTAGTCACTTCAAAGAACCAACAAGAAGTTCAAAACGTTTTAACCATGGAAAATTTACTCTACATATTTTTCTCATTATCATCATTAATTTTCATGTTTTTGTGTAGAAACTCACTTAAGGAGGCTCGAAAGGGTTTTCCACAATTAACAGCAAGTGCCAATCGGTAAAAGACTCCAGGACTGTCAAACTTATCATCGGGATAGTAACTTGACATATGCATAACACCATGTTAAGGTAACCTTTTAAGGGGGCTCGTCAGGCATCATCTGTTGCAATGGAAACAATACAGTAGTGCTAAAAGACCTTCTAAAACTCAGTTTTTGAAAGATATCTAAAAAACCAAGTCGGTGACCTCGTTTTTATTTTTCAAATTTATTTAACATCATCACATTCTCTATCTGTATACGTGACATAAAAAAAACTAACAGGTAGAACTTTAATTATTTAGGAAAATGCTGTTTTAAAATGTAAAAAAATTTCCACTAGATGAACTTTTTTTAAAATTTTCTTCAGGAATGCGCAACGATGAAAGTAATTTGTACACAAAAAATCAGGGTAGGTCACCGAACTAATTTTCGAGATATTAGTTCATCGACTTAGCAAGCTTTATTTCCTGTTTTTGCAATTTTAGCTCACACTTTTATATCCGGTCACGCGCTTAAACGATACCGCTGACCTGATGCCCTCAGCGAGGGAAAAATCGTTCATCCTGAAGATGGATTCACATTTTTTCGTGATTTTACACATTCCTGAAAAATAAGTCATCATTTGAGACTCAGACTGCTTACCGTTACGACAGTTGGAAATGTAAGAGCATTCCGGAGAGAATTCTCTTCCGGAATTCGTTATATGATGACAAGTTGATTTTGCAGATGGCGCCAATGCCAGTACTCTATTATTAAAGCCGTTAATGTTGAGTTTCTCGTACAGAGATTGTAGTGTAACATGAGACAAACCAGCATCTGCCAGCTTCTGGACCATGTTTGTCGAAAGATGAAGCTTCCATCGAACCTCTGGATGGTATCTTGTCGTTGTTCCGAGAGGATGGCTTGATCGAAGGCCTTATTCGGCGATACACATTTACCATGATGTGACCTGTAATCAAGTGACCTGTAATCAAGTTTAATGTCTTTGCGTGGGGCATGGTTGCCCATATTGCCCAAGCCAGAGGCTCATATAATCGCAAGACGACACCCACCCATCCCACCCCAGGGGAGGACATCCATCACACAGTAATCTCGTACGTGGGAAATTAACGTCTCCTA